TGATGCCACAGCAGTGTTTTACCTCCAAGCAGAGCAGTCAAAGAGCAATCCCTGTTTGTGAACAGCAAAACGACTTCAGTCAAGGCTAAAATGCCACAGAACCAACCCACACTGTGTGCATGGTGACCTAGCAGTGCCTTCCAAATGTTGCTCTGAAGAACTGTAAATAGGGAGCGTCTGACTGCTCCACAGCCCATTTCCACAGAGATGAGCCAGAAAAGCCACTCCCTGCAGGACATCACTCACCCCCAGCGACCACCACCTGGCATGAAGACACCCCCCATACACTGCCCCTTATCACCATCCTGCTGCTCACTAACGAACTGGAAGCACGTGGTTTTCTGTTATCAATGAGATAAAGCACGGCGCAGACCACATCAGGAGCCCACAGCAGTATTGCAGAAGCAGTGGGAGGGAAGGAAGAGGATTCCCAGCCCCCAGGGCCCTCTTGGCTCTGTGACGGAGCCCCCGGTACCTGCTTGGGTGGGAAGAATGGCTTCAGGCTGCAAGGCTGCATCACCGGGTAGTTCACTGGCAGGGAAAGCCCTGTCACCAGCTATGGCAGCGTACGGGGGAGATGAGCTGCAGGGCTTTTGAAATCCCCCTCCTCTGACACACACGCAAAGCTGTAATGGGCTTCAAACCAACACAGCCATCATCCCTGAAATGCACCACACCAGGAGACAACAAGGCTCCTCACCTCCAGGCCCATAAGGTGGGAGAAAGCGTCCAGACTCTCCCTGTAGTGTCACCACTCAGCTACGATTTTGCTTCCAGGCTTCCACTGCCACTCCAGGGCACAGTTGCTCCTTGCCCCAGGAGACGCCGTTATTGTCCTGGCCCACCTGCCTTTCTCCGGGCACTTTGTCCCATGTGGGCCCTCTGCAGAGGAGCAGCACAAGGTTAAAGCACTGCTGCAGTCCCCATCCAGCAGAAGGGACTGGACTTGCTAAAACCCCTCTCCTTGGGGAAGTTCCTGCCACCACCCGAGGGCAGTGGCTTTCCAGGGAGGCCAGCTCCAGGCTCCTCGCAGCAGGCAGGCAGGGGACAGGCAGCCTCTCTGCCAGCACCCAGCAGACACGCAACCTGCAGCCCATCTGTCAGGAATCGGGGCTCACCCAGGGGACTTCTCTTTTTCTCCCTCCCCCACCAAGATTTTCCGATTGCAGCAAGTGCGGCAGCCCTCCGGCATTGCCAGCCAGCCACAAAGGCTGCATTTTGCACCCTGCTACTTAAAGTAAAAAAAACCAAGACCAACAACATCTAGAGATGCAGAACAAACACACAGGGGTTAAGAAGGATGAGCCACTCAGCAGCTGCAGCCAGCCTGGTCCACATTTAGGTGACCACCTGCCCACACCCACTGTTCCAGGCACCCTCTGGAGCAGGAGAATTATACCAATCCCAAAGTCAAGGCATTTTAGCACAAACACAGAGCATATCTTCGATGGGTAGCAAAGGAAAAGTGTTCTCTTTCCAAAAATGCCTAATGATGGAAATCCAGTCTCTTACTAAAATTGTCCACCCACTTTTCAGCCTGAGAACCAACATGCATGGCTCAAGAATGTGGGAAAGGGGCAGCCCATGGCAGGCGTGATGGTCAGACACACAGGCAGCCTCTCGCTTCTTGATATACTCGAGGCACTAGAAAGTCCTGGTGAGAGGACAAATGCTCAGTCAGCTCCAGAGCAGTGCTCAGCTGGCCCCAAAACCAGAGAAGACCTCAGGCACAGCCCTGTAGCATCCCCTCTATGGTCACAGGCATGTTTATCCAGCCCCTCCTCACCTCTCACCCAGAAGCGCTCAATCTCAGTCTCTTGCAGCAGTTGGTTGGAGAACTACAGACCTGTGTTTCCTTTTGTCACTTTAAGATCATTTCCATTGAACAAGCATCTGAGAAAGGAAAGAAGCTCCGCTGGGGACATTTTTATTGTATTACCACAACCCAAGTTTAAGTCTCTTGTGAGCTAAGCAGCTCCAGTCTCTCTGTTTCTCTGCCAAAGCTGTCCTGCCTTCCCACCTCAATCAATACGACTATACAGCATCTAGGTCAAAGGACTGTCTGAGGGAGAGAAGCAGCTACCCTACACCGAAAGGCAACCCCAGCACTACCGTGACAACCCAGCCACCACTGCCAGGTTGGTGCCACTGGCAGGGGTACCCGTGGTCTGGGCAGCTGTGGGTTCAGAGCTCCAGCAAGGTACTCGGTCTCCTCCTTTGCTAAGGAAAACACCACGTAGCACCTTGTCACCAGCCAGGGCCCGAGCTGTCTGTGCTGTGAAGGGGCACAGTGACAATAAATCAGATTGGCAGTGCCAGGTCTCCACCACCAACTGCCACTGCTCAGGGTGGCTCAGGCATTTCTTCCAAGCCACCAGGAACACCCTTTCCTAACTGACCTGCAGCCACGAGATCTGGTTAATCCCTATTTTAACACCCTTCAGACCTGCAGAATTCACCACATGGTCTTTAAAGACAACCCGTGCTGTAAATACACAGGGTCCTGTTGTACCAGCTGGGAAGATTATTTTTATTTTTTACACCAGAACAGCTGCAATGGCGCAGGCAACTTCTTCCAGCCACTATGCCCCACTCCCGCAGCACCACGCTAGGCACTTCCAGCCTAACAAAGCCTGCATTTCCCTCTAATTAGCCTGCTGTTCTGACTTGCCCAGGAGCAGGGCAGCATAGAATCATGCTCAGTGAGACATCCCTGCTAACAGCTGCCAAAGGCTGGCACCGCTCCTCCCTGTCTAAGCTCAAGTCTCCCAGCAAACTCTTCAAAGGAAATTCAAGGACATCACCCAGAGGCACCCCCTCTCTCACCTGGTGCTGGCACAGAAGTGCCCCGTGGACCCAGAGTGACATCCCGCCCAGACCATGACCCTTGCCTGGCACGGCCTGCCCAGCCACAGCTTCGCTCTGTAACAGGCACCGAGTGCCTTGGCCAGAGCCACGGCATACTTCAGTTAACTGCACTGCATGTGGAGGAGAGACTGCTAGGCAGACTGCCCAAGTAACAGCCTCAGGGTACACTGGAGAGAAGTTTCTCTTCAGTTAATTACCCAAGATTAATTTGCAAGAAGGAATTGGCCTCCCTGTGTTTGTAACACAGCCCACCCTGGACTTGCTTTTTGCCAGCGTAGTTCCATCTGTACTGCATGATGTCCACCACCAAGCCAGCATTAGAGGTCGGTGTGTTTGGCTTGGGCAGCAGCAGCCTGCCAGGCAAGGGACTCTCTCACAGAACAATGTTTTTAGTAGGAAGAAAGAGGGCAGCCCCAGCAGGCAGGAGCAGGCCCCTGCTCAGCACGAGGTCCTGCTGGCAGGGACAGCTGAGGAGCAAGCAGGAGCTGGCCCCGTGGAGCTGCGGCGGGGTCCTGGCGGGGCACCGACATCGTCGTGTGCCAGCACCTCGTGATGGAAGCCGGCCTTGGCGGGACTGCCCCGCTGCACAGCGGGAGCTGGGCAGTGAGTCAGTCCCCATGCTCAGTTGTTCCCCCACGAGTGACCCGAGGGCCCGTGGCTCCCTCCCGGCTTCTCCCCACACCGGGCCCTGCCAGGTTCTGCTTTCCCCGGCTTGGGGGAGCGCGGAGGAGCCCCAATCTCCCCCCGGGGCTGCTCAGGGAGCAGAGCCCCGGCACCCCGCGGCTCCCTGCCGGCAGCTGCCACCCAGCCCCGGGGCAACGAACACGGTTAAACGCTACAAGGGAGGGGGACGGGGACGTGGACACGACCCCAACCGCCGGCCCCAGTCCCCCTCCGGCGGCCTCTCGGCGCAGGGAGGCCCAGGAGGGGGCAGATCCCCCCTCCCACCCCGGTGCGCCGGTACCCACCTGCCGGGTGCCGGCCGCCGCCCCAGGACCGGTGCCGTTGAGTAGCGGGGTGGTCTCGCCCACGCGCTCGTCGTCATCGTCGTCGCGGTCGCGACCGGACCAGGACACCTTCTTGGCGACGTTGGCCATGCGGGGGG